CAGACGCCCGGCTGATTTTTTTGATTTACTGTAGAGATGAGGTCTTGCTGCCCAGGCGGGTCTCGAACCACGGGCTCAGGCAATCCACTCACCTCAGCCTCCCAAAAGCGCGGGATTACAGGCTGAGCCACCGAGCCCGGCTAGGTGGTACTATTATTTACAACAAGAGAGAGTGTGCCAGATCAGCCCCTTGCATGGTCGTCCCCATGGCCAGTGATCTATCCCGCCTGAGTAGGAACAGAGATTCCTTGCAGCCAGGTGCAAGCCCTGACTAGGAGGCACCTGGCTCCAGCATTGAATATTCTAGTCCTGTCACCCTTTCTCCAGTGGTGGTCCAGCTCCACCCCGTCCTCTGTCGGGCGCCCTCTGGCCCCTTCTCTGTCCTCTCTCTGCCACATTTATCTGCAGCATTCTGTGGGCTGGCTCTGGTTATTTTCCTCTAATGTCATGGGTGCCCCACCCAGAGGTGTGACTTCTGTGAGGACAGGGACCTCTGGTGCTCACAGGCCCATCCCCAGCCAATATCCATAAACGTAGTAGCCCGTCATCTCCACCACACTGAGTCAGGGCCGACCTGGCTGTCAAATAGGAAGTGACAAGGTGTGATGAAGTCATAAAAGGCATCACAGCTCCTGTCTCGGTCTCTTAGATTGCTCACCCTCGGAGGAGTCAGCCGTCATGTTGTGAAGACACTCAAGGGGCCCGGGGAAGATGCCCACATAGACAGGGACAGGTCTTCACCAACAGCAGCACCCATGTGACAGCTGTGTAAGACCCCACCTGGAAGTAGGTTATTCAATAATGCAGTCCTTACTGATGTCTTGACTGCAACCTCATGAGAAACTCCAAGTCAGAATTTCCCAAGTCCTAACGCACGGAAACTCTAAGAAATAATGAACGATTTTGGAAGTTGCTTTCTGAGGGAGTGTGCGTATAAGTGAGCTCTTTGTGAGATTATTCCACCATGGCTTACCGTGGCCAGAGCCAGAAAGTACAGAAGGTGATGGTACAGCCCATCAACGTCATCTTCAGATACTTGCAAAACACATCCCGGATTCAGGTGTGACTTTATGAGCAAGTGGATATGCAGCTAGAGGGTGTATCATTGGCTTTGATGAGTATATGAACCTTGTATTAGATGATGCAGAAGAGATTCATTCTAAAGCAAAGTCAAGAAAACAACTGGGTCGGATTGTGCTCAAAGGAGGTAATATTACCCTGCTACAAAGTGTCTCCAACTAGAAATGATCAATGAAGTGAGAAATTGCTGAGAAGGCGATACAGTTTTTTGTTTTTCATTTTTTTTAGGTGTCCTTTGTTTGGAATACAGTTCTAAAACATTTGTTCATATTGTTTTGATTACCCTTATGTTATTATAAGATGACAATAAATGTCACGGGATTGCTTTTATTAAAAAAAAAAGAGGTCGAGTGCGGTGGTGGCTCACGCCCATAATCCCAGCACTTTGGGAGACCAAGGTGAGAGGATTGCCTGAGCCCACAGGTTCAAGACCAGCCTGGGCAACTTGACAAGACCTCATCTCTACAATAAATCAAGAAAAATTAGCCAGGCATGGTGGCATGTGCCTGTAGTTCCAGCTACTTAGAAGGCTGAGGGCTTTTTTTTTTTTTTACTCCAACTAAAAAAATAAAACTAAAAAATTAACGATTAGTACTATGTTTTGGGATCATTTGTTATGTAGCAATGGATAACTGATACAATGCACATTTGCTGATGCTTGCCTTAGGCAGAGCAGTCCTGGAGACACAGGGGTTTTAGAGTTCTTGGCTTTCTTTTGATTCTCTGAGTTATCACCTCCTTAAGCACAGGAGAGCAGTTCTGGGATCCTGGGGAGTGCATATACTGGATCTTCCAGAGTACTTATCTGGATTCTTCTAAAGGATAGAGGAAAAGAGGGAGGGTCCTCTGGCCTGCCACAGGGTCCCTTGCACTGCAGTGCAAGAGTTCCACCATGCTGTGGTTTCCCATACCTGCACCTCTAGCTGAGGCCCTTTACTGAGCTCTGTGCTTATGTTTCTGGCAGATTCTTAACCACCTCCACTTGGAGTCTCAAATTTAAGACCCGTTAGCTTAAAGTCACTACTTTACCCATCTGAAACCAGTCCTCCAGGGGAGATTCCTACTATAGTGCTTTCTAAAACACTAATGTGATTTCATATCTCCTTTTTTTTGGGGGGGGGTTGGAGTCTCACTCTGTCGCCCAGACTGGAGTGCAGTGGCTGCTCCCGGCCACTGCAGCCTCGACCTGCTGGGGCTCCGGTGATCCTTCCGCCTCAGCCTTCCAAGTAGTTGGAATTACAGGCGCGCACTACCACGCCCAGCTCATTTTTTTTTTTTTTTTTTGATTTATTGTAAAGATGAATTCTCACCAAGTTGCCCAGGTGGGTCTCAAACCTGCGGGCTCAGGCAATCCACTCACCTCAGCCTCCCAAGGTGCGGGATTACAGGCTGAGCCACTGAGCCCGGCTATTTTTTTATTTATTTTTATTTTTTGAGTTGGAGTCTCACTCTGTCGCACAGACTGGAGTGCAGTGGCCGCTCCCGGCCACCGCAGCCTCCACCTGCTGGGCTCCGGCGATCCTTCCATCTCAGCCTTCCAAGTAGCTGGAACTACAGGCGCGCGCTACCACGCCTGGCTAATTTTTTGATTTATTGTAGAGATGAGGTCTCACCAAGTTGCCCAGGCGGATCTTGAACCCGTGGGCTCAGGCAATCTACTCACCTCAGCCTCCCAAAGCACGGGATTACGGGCTGAGCCACCGAACCCGGCTGACCATATCTCCTTTTTTAACACACACGAACACACAGATTCATACACACACATATCCAGAATGAAATATACAAAAAAATTAATGATTGTTCTTGGGTAATAAAAATACACACAATTTTTGTTTTAGTCTTTATTCTTTTTATGTTACCAAAAATTATCTATACTTCTTGTTCTTGATCAGTTTCATCAGAGGTTTATCAATTTTATTATTCTTTTCAAATAATCACCTTTTATCTGGATATTTTCTCTGGATTTATCTTTCTCTTCATTAATTCTCTCTTCAGTTGTATCTCATTAGTTATTAAACCTATCCACTGAATTCTTAAGGTATTATATTTTTTCAGTTCTAGAATTCCCATGTGTCCTTCTTAGTTTCAAGTTATCTTGTCATTTTGAAAATCTTTCCAGCCAGGCTCTGTGGCTCAGCCTGTAATCCCATGCCTTTGGGAGGCTGAGGTGAGTGGACTGCCTGAGCCCGTGGGTTCGAGACCCACCTGCGCAATTTGGCAAGACCTCATCTCTACAATAAATCAAAAAATCAGCTGGGCGCGGTAGCACATGCCCGTAATTCCGGCTACTCGGAAGGCTGAGGCGAAAGGATCGCCAGAGCCCAGCAGGTCGAGGCTGCGGTGGCCGGGAGTGGCTACCTCCAGTCTGGGTGACAGAGTGAGACTCCAACTCAAAAAAAAAAAGAAAAAAAAGAAAAAATCTTTCCTTCTAATTCCTTGAATATTTTAAAATATGTACCTAGTTATCTTGATCACTTGTGCAACCTTCCTGCCTCAGCCTCCCCAGTAGCTAGGACTAAAAGTGCATGCCACCACACCTGGCTAACTGTTTTGTTCTTTGTAGAAATGAGGCCTCACTATGTTGCCCATGCTGCACTTGAACTCCTGGCCTCAATTGGTCTTCTCACTTTGGCCTCCCTTTTTACTTCTCCCCAGTAGGGCTACAGCATTCTACCCTGCCCGGGGCCTGAGGACAGGGGTGAGCACCAAGGTGGGCTGGCAGAAGTCTCTCTTCTCTCTCTCCAGGGCCTGGGCACCTCAGGAGGAGACCTGGCTGGGGGACCCAAGGATTTCATCAAAGAAGCCTGGTGCCACCCTTGGATGATGGGTGTGAGTCACCATGTCTGGCCAGGTCTATATCTTTAGTCTGTTTCTTCTCTTGGTTGTCAGTCGTATCTTGTCCCTTCCTATACCTGGTTATTTCTGATTGGGTAGGGGCTTCCCATATGAACAACCGTAGGGAAAACTGGAGGTTCTGAGTGGTGTCATCTTCCCCCAGAGACAACTGGCCTTAACCTGGCAGGCAGCTAGGCCAGAGGCTCTAGCCATCCCAGATCACCTTAATCAGAGATGATGATGATTTGTAGCTGGGCTTCCCTTCTCATTCTGGTTGGCCTATTTCCAGTTGCTCTTACTTGCAGTGCGTAGCCATTCTGGAATCTCCAACCCAAAGCTTGGAGAGGGGGAGCTTGGTAGGCCCTGAACTTCGACTTCTGCCCGCCAGCCCTGTGGGTCTGTGACAAGCTCTGCTTAGAGGAAAAGTGGTCCCAAATGTCAGGCTCAACTCCCTAGGTTCTTTCTCCCAGGTCTTAGCCTCAAAATTTGTTGCTGCCTTACAAGCCCTTTAGTACCATCACAAAAATTTTTAAGAATTATTTTGTTTAAGTTTCTTAGTTGGCCTCAGCAGGAGGGTTGTTCTTAACCAATGAATCGGCCTCAATTACCCTCAAAGTGAGATCTGGTCCTAAATCACCTACAAGAAAAACACATTACTTTGCACAGTAGGGCCCCTACATATGAACCTTCAAGTTACAAAGTTTCAAAGACGTGAATGGACGCATTTGCATGTTCAATCACATAAGTCAGTTCACGTGTCTGGCATACATTGTCACATGTATGAATCCTCTACCAGTGGATGTGCTTTCGTGTACTTTACTGTACAGTACTGTTTGTTTTTTACATATTATTTGTGTGAAAGGTATTGTAAACCTATTACAGTAAAATACTAAATAGCCAATTATTGGGCACCTAGGCTAACTCTGTTGGACTTATGAACAAATTGGACTTATGAACACGAATGCACTCTCAGAATGGGACTAGTTTGTATGTAGGGGACTTACTGTAATCAGAACAACTTCTTTTTTTTTGAGTTAGAGTCTCACTCTGTTGCCCAGGCTGGAGGGCAGTGGAATGCTCCCGGCCACCGCAGCCTCACCTGCTGGGCTCCGGCGATCCTTCCGCCTCAGCCCTCCGAGTAGCTGAAACTACAGGCGCGTGCTACCACGCCCGGCTCATTTTTTTATTTATGGTAGAGATGAGGTCTCGCCAAGTTGCCCAGGCGGGTCTCAAACCTGCGGGCTCAGGCAACCCACTCACCTCAGCCTCCCAAAGGCGCGGGATGACAGGCTGAGCCACCGAGCCTGGCTAACTTATTTTTAAAAAGAAAATATGTGTCAGTTGACTACAAGCTAAAGTCCAAGCCCCTTACCACAGCATCCAACTCCCATGGCCGTCTACTTCCCTCTCAGGCTCCCCAAGCCCTCTCTGACCCCAGGAAGCTCCCGCTGGTGCTGAGGGCCTGAGCAAGCGGCTCCCCGAGGGGCTGGGAGCCAGTCCTGCTCTGCGCGCCTCTCGGGCAGGAGTGAGGGGGCTGCGCGGGTGTCCTGCCTGTGGCAGACAAAGGAGGCACCGGGGGCTTGCAGTCAAGGCCCCCACCCTGAGTCGCAGGAGTGAGGTTACAAGGAGACCTTGGAGCGCGTGGGGGGTTCCCGGCATGGCCTCCGCCCCAGGCCCTGAACGCCTCCTCTCCGCGCCCCCAACCCAGCCAGCTCCCAGGGTCCCCATCGCCGCCCTCGGGACTCCGACTGCCCGCGCACGAGCTCCCGCCTCCTCCGCGCGAGCTCGGTGTCTCGCGCCGGGATGTCGCGGTGCCGCTCGGCGCGCGCAGTCCGCTCCGTCCAGGCGAACAGCAGCGCGCTCACCGCGCGGCCCGTCTGGCCGCCTCGTCCGCGCTCACGGCCCGCGGACGCCCGCGCAGCTCCGCCGGGGCGGCCCGGCCCCGCGCACCGTCGCCCTGTGGGGCTCCGCGGCAGCGGGGTCCAGCCAGCAGATGGGCGACGCCAGTCCCTGGAGTCCCGGGCCGGCCCGAGAAGAGGGGGCCCACCCCAGGCTCCGCCCCTTCTGCCGCTGCCCAGCCCGGCCACTGCAGCGGCCGAGGCAGCCCAGCCGCAGTGGGCAAGGGAAACGTGTTCTAACGTGGCTTTGCAGTTGCCGGCCGGGCTCTGCGTTTAGTTGTACGGCCTTGGACAAATCAGCTGACCTCTCTGGGCTTCGGTTTTCTCACTGGTGCCTAGGGGAAAACCTGGGGTTGTTGTGAGGACTCGTTTTTTTTTTGTTTTTGAGTTGGAGTCTCACTCTGTCGCCCAGACTGGAGGGCCGTGGCCGCTCCCGGCCACCGCAGCCTCCACCTGCTGGGCTCCGGCGATCCTTCCGCCTCAGCCTTCCAAGTAGCCGGAACTACAGGTGTGCGCTACCACGCCCGGCTGATTTTTTGATTTATTGTAGAGATGAGGTCTCGCTGCCCAGGCGGGTCTCGAACCCGCAGGCTCAGGCAATCCACTCACCTCAGCCTCCCAAAGGTGCGGGATGACAGGCTGAGCCACCGAGCCCGGCTAGGACTCAATTTTAACAGATGAAAGACCCAGGCTACAGCCTAGGCTCTGCTGAACTCTGCAGAGAATCACAATTACAGACACCCGCAAAGGCTTCCCAGCGCCCGGGACCCTGAGCTGGGACTGGTAAGCAGCAAGCTCCGGGGTCCCATCTAGGGACTCAGCAGGTCACCTTCAATGCCCTGGAGTCCTGCAACACGCAGACCTGCTGGGATCTGGACCCTGCTGCATGCCCCACGGCGTGCCCCAGGCCCACTGGGAGAGGGCAGAGGGCAGTGGGGAGTGGGGCCCAGCCAAGCACCTTTGGCGAATCTCTGGGCGTTCTCATGGTCCCTCTGCAGGGCCTCCTCTGCCTCAGTCAGTCCCACCAGGGCAGCCGCAGCCAGCACCCCTGCCTGGTGCATGCCCCCACCCAGAGCTTTCCGGAGGCGCCAGGCTTCTTCAATGAAATCCTTGGGCCCCCCAATCAGAGCCCCCACCGGGGCACCCAGGCCC